AGAGATAAAGGAGGTGGCGGGCAGAAGATGAGATTACCTAGATAGATAGAAAGTTTCGCAGCTACGATAATAATATCGCTAGCATGCTTGGATGCTATACAAGTCGTTTATTACGTTTAATGTAATAAATTTCGTCGGTAAATGGACGTGGGTATGAGTCGCATTACACGGAAAAGTATTAAGGGCCCTGTTCGTGTCGTACTGATATCGTTATTAAAACGATGCGCGCGTTTCGATGTGCTCTCGAAATAAACAAATCGAACAACATACATTATTGATCGCGCGCCCGGTTAAAATTAATACGCGCGGTAAAACAATTTCGAGAGTTATTTATTATTTTTTGCCGGTCAAATTAATCAAAACGGGTGGACAATTTCAGCCCCGGCACGGGATGACTTTTGCTGTAAAATTTAATTGAATTCAGAGTTACAAATAATTTATGAATAGTAATGCGAAATTTATGTCGAACCCCGGTGCAATAATCGGACGATGGAGCGATATAAAAATAATTTAACGCTCGCCACGTGTAAAATAGATTTCGATAAAAAAGCATAGATATCAGATATAAATTTTGAAACTCGCCTAACATGATTATATTTATTCCTAAATATAAATTATGTAAAAGTAAAACGAAAAAAGAATTTAAAATCGATGGTTATTGATTAAATAACTCGTAAAAGGAGCAATAGAAAGAAAGGAAAAAATAACATTTTCTGATATACTCACTAGAAATTCATTAACAATTCCTTGTCGAGCTACAAACATCATTTGGACCTTTGCCATAAAACATTCTTCTCGAATCGTCTACCCTATCTTTTCGCTGATTTAGCAGTTAACTGTGAACCCTTTTCATCCCGTCCCCTATTAGTTGTTAATCCCAGCCAAGAATTGAATTAATCCATCTAGTCTTTTAATAATCATTCGAAGACATGAAATCGCGAAACAAGACCAAAATCTGTCCATTTAACGGATGTTGCCAAAATATTGTTATAACATGTTTTATCCACCAATAATAGATGAATTTGTCAATTGAAATAGCCCCTGAAATAAAAACAACTTTTGTCAATTCTCATTCTTTCACCAGCAAAGAAGAACAATTTTCTAAGATCAATTTTCTCTTCAATTTTTCTTTTTATCGTTTCTTAAATCGATAAATGCACGATAAAATAGAAGAATTGGCGCAATAAAAATTTTAATCGAATACATTCATATTACAATTACTCTGTCTGTGAGCATGATATTTGAACTACGATAATATCGGACTATTATTCACGATACGATAAAATTGGAGAAGAAGAATGGATTAATACGATAGAAACATGATCGGATATTACAGTTTGCCAGGTCGTCCGATTTCGCTGAAATTGATGGGTTATCGGTGTATTTAGGGTGGCAGCGAAATCCCCATAGCAACGTTTGAATACATTTCCACGTGATTCCATGCACACTGTCCGTGTCACGAGTTTAGGGTTAAATCTGTGCCTGTATCTGTGCCAACTATTGCACTATCTTCTGGCACATTGTTGTCCCTGCACATGTGCATCGCTCTCTGTTTCCTTCACCCCATACACCCTCCGTCTCTTTCTCCCCTTTGACCCCTTTAATCCCACCACCGCCTTGTCTCTCCCTAACTCTCACCCTCCAGTAATGGTCGACTCTTCCTGGTTCTCCCTTTTCCAGATACACATCTCGGTTGTGTGCAGTCAAGGGGAAATGCTTCTAGGTATGGAGTCTCGCCTCATCTTTTAAATGCAAAATGTTAATCAAATTTTAAAGGTGTAAATGTTCTTTAATTATTGCTTTGTCCACAAACGAAATAACGTTATTTGTTTTGATCGTTTGCGGTTACTTACCACTTTCTAATATTTTTTTTTAGTTTTCCTTGGGTGTATAATCTTATTTCAACGAATAAACATGAAGGTGTAATAAAGAGTTGTAGGAGGAAAGTCGTGGATCCACGGCTGTTTCTCACCAGAAAATATTTTAATATTTCAAGATACTATAAACTCCTCCCAAGATGTAATTTCTTTGGTATACTCCTTCTTTGGAAGTAAAAGTTTACGCCTCAAACAATACGTTCGCTTTGTTAAATTGAATTTTGCAATTGCATATCTCTAAGAGATATTAATTTAAAATAATAATTTAAAATAATACGTACTTGAACATTCCACGTTTCCATACTATGAGATTTATCGAAACAGCCATTGACCTATTAATAATACGTAACTTAATCCTTTTGTCCAGAAATCAATGCGTCCTGTCGCATTTGTTTTGATTAAACATTTAAATAGATCATAGACGAAATTTATAATATTTGTATATGTGAGCTCGAATCATTATG